GACGACGAACGACGAACGGAGCAGGACGAGAGAGAGACAGGACAGACGAGAGAGAGAGCAGGCAGAGAGAGAGACAGAGAGAGAGAGAGAGAGAGAGAGAGAGAGAGAGAGAGAGAGCATGAATGTATGGTCAAGAGAGAAGCTCACCAGTTGAGTCTTCAGCCTGGTTTGCAGGTTCCAGTATACATCAGAAGATGGGTTCAATTCTATGAGCCTGTTAACATCAAATAGTGCAGAATGGTAATCTTTGAGGGTGACCAATGTTTGTGCACGTAACATCAGAGCTCCTGTATGCTTGTGGTCCAGCTCAAGCACAGCACTGCATTCTTCTGCTGCCTAAGGTAGTTAATGTAAATTTTTTTATTTCAGTGACAGGTGACAGCAACACACACACACACATTAATCAAAGCACCGAAAAGTTTCCAGAGAACATGATCTAAATAACATTAGTGTTCTAAAGTTAAAGATCGCTAGCAAACAAGGCACCATCCAGTGCACCGTTGAGCCCTCCCTCAAAAGGCTATGTAGGCAGAAACAGAGTAACCTTGTGAGGGACAGCGTAAACTTGTGAGACTGCAGTTTCTTCCGCTTTATATATTTGAACAAGATAATGCACCACAAGCAACTAAGTCAAGTTCATTATAGGCCAGGGAAGTAAAAACATTTGCAGAATTGAAGCCTTGAAGGTACACAATAGAAAGAATTTTTCGATATCTTTGTCACAAAATTGTCACAAATAATGTTTAATCATGCAATCAAATAGAAAGGTGATGAGAAAACCGCTTTTGGATGCCTCTATAAGACAAGATTCAATTGGAAATTCCAGCCAGCACTCCAAAGAAAAGCATTTAATTTGGTAAACAATCAGGCAACAATAAAAGAAAAAAAGGGGAATGCTCAGATTTCAATGAATTTTCCTTTTCTGCAGATACAAAATACATAAGTAGGAGTTTGTATAATTTTGAATACCATGCCACCACAAAATATCTTCCATGGCATAGCCAAATTGGAATAAGAATGGATGGGGCGAATTCACGTGTATATGCTAGAAAAAATTATAAAAAATGAGCAAAACTGGATAGAATCACCCTCCACTTATGTGAACTTAAATATTCAAAATACTAGAGGAAATACTAGAGGATCATCTTCATGTTTCAAAGTATAACTGACAAGCTCAGTAACTTGGGCACGTGAGATGCTAGAATGTGGTTCTTGGCACCCTGAGGACAAGACTGGTGTGGCTAATACCTTAGAAACTTAGACACTTTTGCTTACCTTTTTAACTCAAAAGATAAGGATGCCCTAGGTATTTTAAAACATTTAGGAAAACTCCAAAATATTTCCTTTTCTACAAAAAATAAACATTTACACTGAACTAACTACTAAACAATCACAAGAGCTGAAGGCTTTATTCATTTATATGTTGATCGCTATACATCCTGCAAGAGGTGGACACAATCTTTTATATTCTCAATAAAAAAGTAATCACATCAAGTCATTTAATAGGTATTTTTAACTCAAAAGATACGAATGCCCTAGGTGTTTTAAAACATTTAGGAAAACTCCAAAATATTCCCTTTTCTACAAAAAATAAACATTTACACTGTACTAACTACTAAACAATCACAAGATCTGAAGGCTTTATTCATTTATATGTTGATCTCTATACGTCCTGCAAGAGGTGATGGACACAATCTTTTATATTCTCAATAAAAAAGTAATCACATCAAGTCGTTTAATAGGTACTGCTTGGTGGCACAACCTCTAATAGAAAACTCAGAATTAGAGAGACATGGTCCTAGATTTGGATAGAAACGCAAGCACTGGCCCATCATGGGAATACGACAAATCATGTATGCCCTAGTATCTCAATAAATGCCTCCAGATAGGACTTCTTTTCATTCATCTGATACGATTCAGGTTAACTGAACCAACTCACTCATACTGGTATAGGATCTCAACTCCAGGAACAACAATCTGTGAATGCATGAGAGGTCCAAAACAGATGAAGCTCCACTGATGCATTGTGTTCTTGGAATTACAGGTCTCAAACAACCCATTGCCCCATGTCGTGTAAAAATAAACACCAATGGGAATGGGCACTAAAATGTCTTGTTCACCTTATACAAGCCATAAGACTTAACTAACCAAATGGCCTAACATCATACGATGGAATTGATGAATACTTTCTATATTGGGATATAGGCACAGGGCTTGATGGTTAGGGTGTTGACAATTGCCGCTCCAAACCCCAGGTGTGAATTCCACCTTCAACCACACACACCCCCAAATAATTGGGGACAAAGGGCTCAATATCCAATATCATAGGACGAGACATGTCAAATAATCAAACATCTACCATGCTACAACGTCAGTCTCTGTAGCTTGTCATCCACATAGTATACTTTCCTAACAAAAGATTACCAGGTCTCAGAGAAAAGGAGCTTTGGGTTGTTGGTTCACTTTCTTCACACATCACACGTTTCTCCAACTCTCAATCAGTATGGATCACTAATTCTTCGCATCATTTTACCCTTCACAAAAAGTAATCTGGACAGATGTGGGTCTCATTCCTCATTTCTCATCTTCATAATCTAATCACCACGATGTCTTTTTCACGATTTTTGTGGACCATACCATAGATTAAACTTCTTTGCAGAATTCCAATATAGACAGCCTATCTAAACATCATTGATGACGTTGCTCCAAGTGTAAGTGAAAATTTTAAGCTATTCACCAAAGGCATCCATTTTCCTATTAGCTTCCTCAGAAATGTATGTTTGATCTTTCTTTCTTGGTGAGTGATTGCAATTTCTACTTTTCTTTTGATATTCTTTCTTCTAACCAGTGAGACATCAGAGTAGAGACTAAGCAGCCAAAATGCCTATGAAGACGTAAGTTGGGGAAAGTAATTACTATATGAAAAAAGGAGAATTACTATATGAAAACAGGGGAAGGCCATGTGGTCAGAACAGAAGAATTGTATTTGGCTTGTCAGGCAGCTAATCAAAAAACCCATGTCCGATAAAAATCTTTCTTGCTTGGGGGAAATACTCATACACGTTACCTCCATCAGTGACGGTATTTATAGCTAGTGTTTTGAAAAGAGCGTGCCTGGCCATCTTGGCATCCACCCACGACAGCCAGAGGCCTAGCTGCCTTGCCAAGGGAAAAGGGGACTAGCCTACTGCACGCACTTTGGCGGTTCAGGCACCCACCTCCGATTCAAATTGACCAGGGGACAAATAATGCCCTCAAGCAAGGAAATTTAGGTCATTTTCTCCTGGGGAGGGGTTGGTGGTTGGGGCATTCCTACATGCCAAACACTCAAAAACCCTTGTTTTGTGTGTTAAACACATCAAAAAATAGGATTGAGATTGTAAAGATTTTTTTTTCCCTTTTTGAAGATTTTAATTGAATTCGAAGCGTGTTGGATTGGTATAGTTTTGTAACTTCAAGAAGGGTGTAAATTAGACTTTCTGAGCCACCTAGCATCAAAAGTTAGCCTAAAATCATTGTTGCTCAGATTTTGTTGGTTTATTGGTCCCCAATTTCAAGCTCTCACTTACAGTTTTTTCTCTTCTTCCCCCCCCCCCCCTCCCTCC